TCACAAATATTTACTAATGTTATAAAGTTACTATAGGACATTGTAACAGGGCACTAGTACGAGGGACTGAGCGGGTCTTTGCTGTTGAAGGCGGGCAGCTGCAACCCGGCGCGGAACACGGGCAGCTCGTTCGCGGTGAATGTGAGCGGCAGAGGCTCGCGTGACAAGAAGAGCCACGGTACGGTACAGTCTGTACCCACAGCTGCAGTGACAACGCGTGAAAACCACTCGACAGTGTTGCGTCGGCACCTGAAACGTGGAGAAATCCCCCAAACTGCGTCTTGGCACGTGGAGACCCTGAAAAACACACTTACTAGCCAGTAAATACATCGTGATGCGTGTTGGCACATCGTGATGCGTGTCGCCACTCTATACTACTGGACCTACACAACTGGCCGCGCTTCGTTCACGGCAGACTCGTCCGTGGCTTCCATACTGCACAAAACCAGCACGCCCAAGGCTCCTCAGACGGGAGTCTAGCGTCCAATCAGATTGGCTCCCTTTTCATTCGTTTAAGCACCATGCCTCGGACGCTGCCGTGGCGAGATCTGGGCTTTGAGCTCGGCCGCGACGAAGCCGACGCCATCCTGGCCACGTTCAAGATCCACAGCACCGACATGAGCAACACAATGTCCTGTAGCGTATGCCGCGTTGGTAACCACCACAGCATGCGCTATAGGCTACTCAAATGCGAGTCCAGCACCTGCAGCGACCTCACTTGCTCGTGGCGCGGCAAGGTGCTGGACTGCTCTCACTCTGGTGATACCTACATCTACGAGTTGGGCGAGCACTTCACTGGAGCCTCTTCCCCCAAGCGAATTAAGCTTTCCAGACAGCAGAAAGAATACTGCCGAGAGCTCGCGAAGCAAAGGCTCCGACCACTTCGTATCCAGTACGCCATGGCTCGAAACTTCCACATGTCAGCGAGCGACATCCCTCTTCTGGGCAAAGTACAAAATTTCTGCAACTACTACGCGCGTACCGAGCTTGACAACCACGATCGCGTCGACGATCTCACGCAGTGGATTCACTCACACGCGTTCACTGGTACTGAGGACGATAATGAGACTTTTACTTTCGCTTGGGATCTGGACGCAGATGGCAAGCCTGTGGTGGGCGACGGCTCGGACGAAGAACCTTTCGTTGTGGGTGTAGCGACAAAGAACATGGTGAAGAGGCTCTCAGTGCCTCCAGAGAGCTACGTCCTTCATATGGACGCGACGTTCAAATTAAACCCGTCCGACTACCCAGTCTTAGTGGTTGGTATATCGGACCGAGCTCGCAGCCTCCATCTCGTGGCAGTTTTTATCGTCTCGCAGCGGACGCAGCCAATCTACGAGGCGTGTTTGGCTTCTTTAAGCCGCCTGTACTACTGGATTACAACTAAAAGGCTGGCTCCTCGATACGTAATGGGAGACGCAGAGAAAGGCGCAGCGGAATGCCATTTTTATGGTATTTCGCGAAGATCCACAGCTTCAGTATCTCATGTGTTTTTTCCACGTAATGACTAACGTGGAAAAGAGGCTGAAGGGATTTCCCTCACATGTAGCAGCAGCACTGGTTCGTGGTCGGTACGACTTGCACTTCGCCCGTGACGAAATATCATTTTCCTGGATGCTGGAGCAGTATTTGCAGACCTGGAGATTGTACCCTTACCTGGTCGACTTCTGTACGTACCTTGACGAACAATGGCTGCAAGGAAACTTTACTATGTGGCAGTGCTTTCGAACTCCCTGTGCGTTTGCTACCACAAACAACCCTGTTGAGCAGTTCAACCGAGTGTTGAAGCGTGACTACACACTGCGACGTCGCCTTAAAATGGGAACTCTGCTTAAGGAGTTACGCGACTGTTGCATGAACGAGTCGCGCAAGCAGCGGGTATTTCGCCCCACCCCAGAAGCAGCACCAGCCCTCACTCGTCGCGTGGTGGAACTCGTCCGAGAGAAGCTGCTAGCTCGCAATACTGCTGCTGACGGGATGTTTGGAGATGCTGAGGTGATGCACGTGGTAGCCCATCCTGCAAAGCGTATCGTGGTGGAGGGGGCAAAGCGGTCGACGGAAGAGCAGATAGCGGCTTCGGCCCAAATGGGCGCTAACTACGCGCGTATGGAGGTGCAGGACGAACCTCCTCACGGCTGGCCTGTTCAACTACGCGCGAGATGGTGTCCATGTAACTATTGCTACAAGTTTGGAACCTGTGTTCATGTTCTTTTTGCCCTCCGGGCATCGGATCGTCTTGATGGAGCTGGGCGGCGGGTGCTTGTGAGTCGACGAACTACTGGCAAGCGCAGTAGCGATACGCTGGGAGGAAGACCTCGTCTTATTGGGCCTGCGCTGTCTCTAGAGTAAAGTATCAGCTCCAGCACATGCGTACGGCTTGGTAGATACTCAGGATCGGGTGCAGTGGTCTTTTAATACGTCTACAGTAACAGTTAGAGCGAGCATTTACATCATAACACTTTTGTTTTCCTCCAGCACCTTCGCCTCGTACACGTAGGTGGCGGAGTAAGGTGCCACACGTCGCTTAAGACCTCCTGATCACAATACAACCGAGGATATAAACTAAAACGAAGTTTTGACTCCAGCATCAGAGTTATTACGTGCATATTCGCAGTTGACACTCACAGGCCTTATACGCGTGGTGATGCCAGTGCTGAGAGCGAGGAACCGATCGTAGTCGAATTTGCGCGCTTGCACAGTGTCCGCTCAAGTAGCAGTAAGATACCTGTTAGGTGTCTGTGTTGCAGAAGCTCATATCGGAAGTGCTGGATCACCGCAAGATGTTCTGCAGCGAAAAATAGACCGAAGCTGATGCCAAAATCAAACGTGTATTATGAGAACCTACACTCCTACTACTCTTCTTGCCAGCACTCGTCACAAGCACACTTAAACCACACTTCATCACCGTAGTTCACCGTTATATCAGTGCCTGCCTTCACAGCCTTCTCATTACGACAAGGATCTTAACGTTGCGTCCGTTGCGCATTTCAATGAAATCCGCGTTTGGTACACAGGAATGCGAGAGGAATCGCATCAAGGAACCACACTTGCCAGCTTCGATGTACACGTACTTCTTGGTTGTAGACTTCGTGTAGTACAGCATCGTGTAGCCGCTGTTGTACTTCTTTGCCACCTCTGGCTGACCCTCAATCTGCGCCTCGTGCGCACGTAGCTGACCCACATACTCGCCCAAGATGTCCCCGACGTCCAAAAAAGCAGTAGTATACACTCCTAAACCAAAACGAGCGGTTTCAAAAAGCTTCAGCGTCGCTCGGTTCCTTGGCGCATTACTGCACAATGCATCTAGCCAACAACATTTCGATGTGCAGTAGATGGAGGACTGTGCGTTCTCGCAGGTGTCGAAGAAACAGTCGCCAACGCAGCTACAGGGATCGAAGTCTCCGACGTGAGGGAACTGCAGTCCTTCAGGAATTCGACACTCATTAATCTCGTCCACTCCGTTCGGCCACTTAACTGTCACTGCAGGCGCCAGCGATACCTCAGCCGTATCCTTCTGCGTCGTGTAGCTCGGCCGTAGTACGTGTAAGGCTTTCAAACGCTCTCGAACGAACGGGAGCTTCAGGAAGTCCTTCATCTTCTTGGCTGTAACGTTGCGAGAATGGTAGACGTTGGCTCCAGACCTGGTGATCGCACTACGGGCCATATGCTTCCTCTTCCGCGAGCGGGGTACATGCCACTGGTTTGACCGCTTTTTTGCTTGGTGGCAGATTTTTTTTCTTTCCAAACGAGTCGGTATAGCGGCCAGGTACTGCTGGGGGTCCAGCACCTCATCCGGGCTCTCCGAAGGTTGCGTGCTATCTGGAGAAGAATCCTCGCTCTCCGCACTTGTTCCTGGATATGAGGAAACGGGTAGTGTGTTAATGCTGGGCTCTACACGCACAGTCGTAGTGCTGGGCGTCGAAGTGGTGTTCATCACCGATTCCAGAGACTCAGAATCAGAATCAGGAGCTGCTAACTGAAGAAGTATCTCCATCGGAACTTGTCCTGACACCTTTTCCTCGCTCGCAGGTCCTTCACTAACGTCTGTGCGCTCGCCTCCACTTGTTGCGGGTGGCTGAAAACGTAATTCAGAGGTGCTGGAGACACTAACGTCTCGAGCAGCTTCGGAGACTCTTCCAGCGAAGTTTGCTGCAGCGTGGGTGTCCGCCGCTTCTCTCTCCACTCGTAGCTGCTGCGCCACTGCAGCAGAGGCATCGTCAACTGCTTGTCGTATAGCAGATTTTAAAATGGTGGATCTCGTCGGGAGATCCACAGAACCATCCACTAGTTCGTAAGTCCTCATCTTTCTCCACACGGCGACTTCAAATGGTATGCCAGAGATGTTGGCCACGCGGCGCATCATGTGCGACAGCTCCAGGATCTCGCCGGTGTCCACACGTATCGGATAATCCACGTCATTAAACTGCGCGATCCTCAGAACGCGGCTCTTGCGGTAGCCTCTCGCGTCTCCGGCAACTAACGCCCGCGAATAGTACTGGATCAAGTCGCCGGCTCGGAGAGGTAGCTCGCTGCGCTGGAGGCGTACTATACTGCTGGCGCTGGTGCGGCAGGGTGATCACCGAAGGCTTGCACGCGACTGCCAGGTTCCGATCTCGTGGGCTGTTGATGAGCAGCGGCAGCCCACCACATTCGGAAGACATTTGCTTCCTTGAACTTCGACGAACTGGGGGCCTGTCTCTCTCGCTAAAAGTGCGTCGCGAGGCGTGCAGACGCAGGCGCCTACCAGCAGTCCCGTCCACGACGTTTTGTGGGATGGTTTCGTGTGTTTTTCAGATCTGTACATTTCTGAACCGGTTTTTCTCAGGCTGCCAGTGGGGTTACGACCCCGGATCGTTACTATCGACGGGCGATGAAGTGTGGCGGTAGTGGCCCAGCAGACATAGCGAAAGACGAGGTGGTGAGACGACGTAAGTGTAGCACTGTAGTAGCCCAGTAGAGCAGCTGCTTCACGTCGAAGTCGACCAAGAATTCGGAACGTGATGGGGACACTGAGCCGGCGAGCGGCGGCTCGAGCTCAGTTAAGAATTGGATCCGCGAGGCGCAAGTGGCTCGAGTACGAGCAAAGTGGTGCGTCAGTTGCGGAGCGCGTGTTTAGGCCCAGGACTTGCAGGTCGTTGCGAGCACAGCCGGAGAAGCGCGAGAACGAGTCGAGTGTCAAGCGAGCAGAGCTGCCTGGCATTCTTGAGCAGAGCCGTAAGGCACAAAGCGAGTGGGTAGTTGGGCAGAGAGCGACGGGGTGGAGCCGTTCGTGGTGGTGGTTGTGGTTCGAGGAAGCGGGCCTCTCAGAAGGGGTTAGCCCTTTGACGAGTCTGATTGTTGTTGCACGCGGGCTTACCGGCGGTGACCAGTGCGGCGGACACAGGGTTCGACGTGTGTGTGACTGCCTCGGTGGCCCCTAAGCGTGTCTGCGCGGTGAGCCGCGGTCCTGTAAGAGGCAGGGCTGAGCAGTAAGACGCAGTTGAGTTTGAAGTTGAGTTGAGAGCTCTACATCGAGTAGAGCAGAGTGGTTGAGTTGAATACAAATAGGGACGGACGCGTCCCGGCGGCTTGAGAGCAGCCAGTACAGTGTTCATTGCGTACGAGCCTCGGAACCCTGGTAGTTCACCTACAGACGGTGGCAGTGAGCGGTGCGACCCGCCGGCGAGCAGGCGTCCTGAGACTCGTTACAACATGTTCTAATTGAAAGCTTTGTAAGCATTTTGCAATCACTCTCACTTTCATCTAAAATCTATCTCCTATTGATTAGATGAAGCAAACCTTGTCTCGGTCATTGTTTCGTGTGAGACAAAGCTTTTACGGACATACTCGACACATTTAACATGAATACAAGTCATATGATCCACTCGCTAATGTGACTTCAGCTGGAACGCTCCAGAGTGTGACATAAAAAAATTATGATCTTGAGCGACGATTATGTATAGTATAAAAATATAACTTTAGTAATATAACGATGTGCAGCTTTATCAAAAAGAACGGAGAACAGTGTTTGCTAGCTCGCAACAAGGATCGCTGCGGCAAGCATCCAATTATTATGGATCGGAAAAGTATTGTCGCGGAGTGTAATATCGTAGAAGAAATGTCACCACAAGCCAATACCCAGTCGTCGCTGAGGCTGATAGCGCCATCGGTGATCGAACCCGTCGAGGCCTCGAATGTAAAAGTAAGTGAAGCTCCAAATGTAGATGAGTCGATTGTCGAACCGATGATCGTGGATAGCGCGGTATATAAGGAGGAATATAATTCAGATTCGGAGCAATTATATAATTCGGACGGTTCTGAGAATGAAGTGACCTCGACAGCTACTGAGGTCATTAAACCGACCGAGTCGCAGTTGAGCATATCTTATCGTTTGTGTGAATTATCTTGAAAATCGTGACTAAATTGCCGAAGCTGAGAACCTTGTTCTCGATCAGCAACAAATCGATGTCTTGCAAAAATTCGTTGAGGCTGATACCGAAAAAAATGCTAAAGGCAAATACATTGAAAGCACACTCAAGCGTGATTCTATGGTAATTGATCAGTTTGAGCGCAAAATGAAAGAGCGTAAGGAGAATCCGGAATTCAAGCCAAAAGCCACGACTAGAACTGATGCAGAGGCTAAGGGCATTACTTGGGACACTTGTGGACTTGAATACGGGAATAAAGACATTCTGAAGTTTTCTGAAGTAACGGAAGCTTGGCGCTCACTTGCGAAGGAAATGCAAATCGATCATCAAAGCATTAAGAATGCAGCTCCACAAGTATTATTCAGTCAGGGTTATATCTCACCAATCCAACTTGAAAATCGAAAAGATGGCAAAGTAACCTCGCGTAAGCGTATCTACTTCAAATCAGATGAGGACAAAGAAGCCTTCTTAGGGCTTTATGAGAAACTTAGTCTTGTAGAATACTGTGTGTCAAATGGACTATATGATCAGCGTCTATACAAAGTATGCTGCATGATGAAGAGATCCTGGTACTGTGATACTTGGAACTTGGCTGGTGTGCTATATCGCAAGCAACACATCGATCTTGGCTTAATGCGGAAGACATATCTGTGCATTCTCAATACAATGGCAGATCGATTTTGTTGATCAATCCGCTGCGTTGAAAGTGTTCAATGATAACATCCAAGTATTACCCCGAGCTAACTGAATCCCAAATTAAATTTATAGTTGGAAACCGATCCAGATGGATACAAGGAATGGAAAGCGGAGTATGAACCACAAGAAGTCAAAGAAAAAAATGAAGATAAGGAAAAGAGCTCGTACGATTCGGCAATGGTTTGTGCAGTTCTAGACGCACTAGCTTTGGCTATCACGTATCCGGTAAATAGATCCACCTAAATCAGCAATTCGTGTTTCCTTTGAACGACTTGGGCAGCGAGGGGATGTGATCCATGGCTATGATTTGGAAAGGGTAAGTCGCTTATACATTCCCACGTGACTCCCCTTCGATTGTGGGCCTGCCCTTGCCTGTCTCACAATCCACACATTCACCGACATATCGTTGTGCGCTCTTGAATAGTCCCCTCCAGCGGAAACATTCCCGGATCCGTTGGTAGGTCCGACCAATACCCTGATGTCCGCCTTCTAAACTAGCGTGATAGCGATGTAGGACGTCCTGTTGTAAGGTTTCCGGCATCTATAGTCTCATCAATCCATCCCGATCCTCGTCGACTCTCTTCGTAGGGGGACAATAGAAGAGCAAGTCATTCAGTTCAATCCGTAGCGATAATATTGTAGGCTTTGGTATCCTCCCGACTCAGGTCTCGTACATCCCCCCATCAGATACTTCTTTAGTCCCAAGATCCACGCTTCTTCGTTCTGTGCTTTGAGGATCCGCTCAATGCGGACTCCCTTCACAAATGTTTCATCGAGGATCTGGGGGCTGCATCCAATCCTTCCCCTGGGCCTAGTGACAACCATTACCTGGACTGTCCTTTTCCCGGATCCAACCGCCACCACCTCATCTAGTCGGCTCAACGTAAGGAGATCCTGATGCTCGGCCTCTCTCTCGACTTCGACACCACATTGATTCCGTAAAGCGGCACTGGCCAAGCTATCTGCACTGGCATTCCAATCTCGCTTGACATGCACCAACTCGTGATTCATCCAACCACGCAGGTGGACCATCACTTTCTGCCGTAACAGTGTTAAGGCCGGGGCCTTGCAGTCAATCTCACCTCGCACCTGTCTGATCACCAAGTTTGAATCCCCACAAATCACCAGCCTTTTTGGATCCTATCCCTTTAGTAGATCCAAACCCAGCAGGAGCCCGTTATACTCTGCTTCATTGACGGTGAGGCCTTCCGCATAAGTGGATCGGGCCGTTACAACTTCCCATTCGGGGCAGTCTCGACAGTATTGCGCTGTATGCTCCTCCTCCGCGTCGTACGCGAGCGGATCTATCGAAACTCAGGACGTACAGATCTTCATCCACTTGTACCGTCGGGATCGGGATCTGGATCCGGCGTTTGGGCTCTTTCTTAGGAGCGATTCTTGTCAGCGCTTCGTCTATCTTAGCTCGAGGTGTGATGCTCGCGGCCAAGACTTCCAGGATCTCGTCTTGCCTTTCGAACATTTTCACAATCTCCAGTGTCCCAGGGCGAGAGTAAATCTGCCCACTGTCCCAAGCGTTCTTTGTAACCCGGCCGACTAGAACAGCCCAAGCTAGCGTAGAGTGTCGAGTCAGGGATCCGGATGGATCTTCTCACCAGCAGGTTGTAATTGAGATCCAACACGGCGCAAAAGCGCGAAGATCCTCCATTCTCCACCGCTCCCGAAATCAGTTCATTTTGTGTTTAACGTCCGGGCTGGAGAAAGT